AACGGACGAAACAGTGTCGTGCGATTCGCAAAGAAATAGAATATGCTCGCCGATAAGAACCAAGATGAAAATATTTTCGCGAGATTTCCTCACTTTTCACCGTAAAAGATCTTTTTGGAATAATTTGAGGAATCACGCATGCTACTTTGGAAAGAACGTAAGAAAAACTAAAAGACCTATTCTTGGCTTCGTGTGTATTATATAAAAAAAAAAAAAAAAGAAGAAGAAGAAGAAGAAGAACCTAAAACCGCTCGAATAAATACGTAATATAATAATATTAATTGCACTAATCAACTAAAACTCGCGTTCTCCTTTTCTCTTTCCAACTCCCGCTCCTATTTCAACTATTTTCGTAAATGTAGATATAAATAAGAAAAGAAAACATGCGGAAATGTAAGAAAAAACTAAAGAAACTCGACACTAGATACAAGAAAAACGTGAACACGACGTTCAAAACTAAAGAATGCTCCTCTCCTATATATAAGTTAACATGAAACTTCGAGAAACGAAGAAATATCTATGATGAAAATGTTGATCTAAAATGAAAAAAACGAGTAGCAGGAACGCATGTTGCTCCGATGAAAGGAAAAAAACTAATAGTGACAACATTGAAGAAAAAAAGAAGAAAGTTCGTTTTCCATATCAGGAACACTTGATTTTGAAAAGGAAGAAAAGCCAAGAAATTTTCGCGAAAAATTCGGTCAGTCATGTTTCCCAATCAACGAAAAAAAGAGCAGGAACACCGATTCAATTGGAGGAGTGAAACGATTTAAATATAAAATTGTATACAGATATAATTATATATTATATACAGGATTTTTCAAAATTTAAGTCAACAATAATGTACGAAAGACTTACGCAAATAATATGATAATGAGATATGATAATCACGTTGACATAATTCCGAAACAATCGCCTGTATATTATATATATATATAATAATATATATATATAATATATATATATATATACACGTATATCTGAATGGATGACGCACAATAAGGATACGTTGGAAGACAGTAAGAGCGGCGCGATGGAGATGCCGTCGCAGCATCGCGAGACACTTTCCTGAAAGGTGCGTGCCGGTCGCTACTTGTTTCATGGTGCGTATAGTCGCATGTCGGAGAGAACTCACCGAGAGAGTCCCCGACGTATCTCCTCCCGTTTCACTTCTGTCGTAGAGAACATAGCAGACGAAGATGCGCGGTACGTACGCTTGTATCCATAATGCATGTCACACGGTTTTGAAGAACGCGCGTGGAACCTAACCCTTCGCAGCCGGTAGTATCCCGGGTCTGTGCCTACATATCTTTTTTATAATATTTCTATTCTCGATCGACTGACGAACAAATTCTCTGTGACTTTCACTCTCCGTGCCCGGTAAACGCGGTCTTTTCACTGCTATTCCTTCCCTCTTTATCCACGTGTCTCTCCCTCCTCGGGTTTATTTCTTTCTCGGTTTGATCCCGTCGTGCCGACAGAATTTTTTCTAATCGTTTCGCCAAAACCGACTTTATCACGTATCATCGATGGTAAGCTACACACGAACGATAATGTTTTTCTTCTTCTCTAGAAGGCAAACATTTAATACGTGATACACTCGTAAGACCATGGCGGAAATATCGTCGTCCCAATGAATCTCGAATCGCCGAAACATTGAAATTTTTATTTCTCACTCTAAATTTCTGTTTTCTGAATTCCTGAAAGGAGAGTCGTGTAAATCGGAAAATGTAGCGTATCGTTCGGGCACGAGAGTAAGGTAAAAGTATATATTATGGCAAGGAATTAAATAATATTCGTTAAATAATGGATGTTTCTGGACATGGAATAACGATAATAACGAAAATGTGATTGTCGATGATGATGATGAGATATAACGACGTGTGCAAATGCCAGTATAGCAGCAGTGTTAGCAGCAATGATTACCAAAGTATAAAGTAGTAGCAATAGTAGTAATAGTAATAGTAATAGTAATAATAATAATAATAATAATAATAATAGTAATAATAATAATAATAATAATAATAATAATAATAATAATAATAATAATAATAATAATAATAATAATAATAGTAATAGTAGTAGTAGAAGTAGTAGTAGTAGTAGTAGTAGTAATAATAATAGTAATAATAATAATAAGAGTACAATATAATGGACATGAACCGCAAAATTGACAGCGATATATTTTAGGTAAGACACGAGATTAATTGACTTTAATGTGGAGTTCTGAACGACCACCGTTGAAGCAACCGACTGCATGGACACACAACTGACTGCATCGTTTTACAAGGCAAAAGAAACAAAAATAATAAGAATAATATTAATAGTAATAATAAAAAGAATCATTAATAATAAAATAATTATTATTATAATAATGATAAAGAGAAAAAAGAAACGATCAGTCAGATAAATATAAGTATAATGAGGATAATATTAAATGAATGTGCCTTGGTCTACCTTAAAGTAGAAGATAGTCTGCTTCGTATGCATTCGGGGCATATGGTGTTACGAATTTAATAATAATAATTATAATGATAATAATAATGTTAATAATAATAATAATAATATAAAATAATAATAGTTAATAATTAATAGGTATTAATAAAAATAATTACATTAATATAGTAATGGTATTAATAATACGATAATAGTTAAATCTATAACAACAGCTTAAACTAAAATTTCTCCTTCAGTTTAATTTATAATTGACACAAATGTTATTATAGATTTAGTTATTAACGTAATTTAGTTTTATCTAGTGTATGTATTTAGTATATGTATGTAGTATGTATATATACAAAATATATTTCAATCTTCAAATTCACTACGTTACTTAGGCACTTTCGGTTTTGCTCAATTTGCTTCGTTACATTATTACTTTATTCGTAGAATTGACTCATTTTGTGAAAGTGAACATTTTCCACCAAGAAATCTCTTCTTAACGATCTTTGAAGGAAAAAAAAAAAAAAAAAAAAAAACGGAAATAAAAAAAATAAGACGAATGAAAATACACGCCGACAACTTATTCGATTCATCGTTTCATTTTCTCGAAACAACATTTATGTTTCAAGCACGAAAATATTTTCCGAAGGACAGAAGCGCTCTCGAAATTACACCGTCTTATTGTCCTAAGTTCACTCTCACTTTTGTTCGATGCATGTATATGTTTTTTCTGTCTATTTCTCTCTTTCATTCGCTCTCTTCTTAATAGAAATTTCTTTTTTTTTTAAGAAATAACAATTAACACTAACAATAATTATATAAATTATAAATAACAAGATATTAATGGCAGATAATGGAAGAAATGTTACCAATCTTGTACGTATGTATGTAGATTGTCCTCCATCTTATTAAGAAAATATAATACAATTATCGCGTTAGAAATATCACCTAGAGAGCTTGAACAAGGAGAAAGAAACAAAGAAAGCATATAACGTATCGAGCGAAAGCGAGAGCAAGCCAATTTCGTAATAGATTAAAAGGAGAAATGAATTTACCGAGATTTGCTTTTTAGTGATGAGCTCTCAGACAAACAAAAGGTTGTCTCTCTGGACGTTATTATTATTATAAAATCTTTCTCAGTTTTTTAGTTTTGAAAAGTATAAAAAAAACTTTTCTTTGTTTTTTTTTTTTTTTTACTTAACCAAAAATCTAAAAAGAAAAGAACCAAAAATTTCCAATTAAACCACGACGTACGTCCGATAAAGTTCCTTCGGTCCAATAGACTCAGAAAACGAAAAAGAATCGAAAACGTCTCGAGATGAATAAAACATTTAAAAATCAATTAAAAACAAAATCGTAAAAGTAATTTTGGTGCTGGTGGGAAATTTCATTGAGAGATATTTCTGTTTCGCTCTGAAGACGAAAATTTTTCTCTCAAAAAGTGTAGAAAACCAGATCGTCAACGTATCCTCAGTGTGTAGCGTGTCTCGTGTATGAAATTCGTCTTGAACGTGTAAAACGACTGAAAGCCCTGATGAATTTTCGTCTACAAAAATATCTAACATCTTGTAACTTATTCTTAAACGAGCACACATTTTCGTTCACTCGATGGACAGGTCCGTTCTGAATTCATGATGCTACATACGCTCAACACGCACAACATAACACATACAAACGCGCTCGCGATGAACGCATCACTTTCTCTCATTATCTTCCTTTTACTCACTCCTTGCTCTCACCGTTCAATCTTTACCTCTCTTTCATTCTGTCCAGATTACACCACAAGATCATATACTCATTACACACAAACACGCAAACATACTCTTACTCGTTCTAACATTGGAAGACAATTGGAGTTTTTATACCATTTAATTTGAATAGCATGATCCGCAATTGTTGATCTGTCTTGTATATTTTGTCACCCAATCTTCACACAATTTGAACATATTCATATATGTATATATATATATAAAAATATATATGCATATGTATATATGTTTACACAAATATTTATACAAATATATATTTATATAAATGTTTATACAAATATATATATCATAAATATACATTTATATAAATATTTATACAAATTTGTGTGTGCGCGCACATATGTATATCTTTCACTCGATCTACTTTGCTTTTGTCTGCATTTTTCTCGCGCGACTCGATCTTGCCTCCCTTTCACTCTCAGATACAACTTTCCCCTCCCGTCTTTTCGCAAGAAGAAAATGAAGAAACTGTTTTGGAATATTGCAACATTTCACCTGCCCCGGATAGAAGCTTCGTTCTCGCGAGAATCCTTGCGCATGGACGAAAAGCAAAAGCAGAAATGAGCAAGGGCAAAACTCGAGGATCGGATATGGCAAACGAGATAAAACGAAACGCGGATCTACGTGAGCCCAAGAGAGATCAAAGAACAACTCACTCGGGTGAAGTCGCAATTCGGAAGCTTGGACTCCGTCCGTCTCGTTCCTATCCACTTTCATTGCCGCAATTTTTTCTTTTCTGGATATTCTTACGATTCGCGATATCCAATGCTCCCGGATCTCTTCGTTTTCCCTTTCTTTTTCTCTATCTTTGTCCTTCTCCACGGTTGAATCATCCAAGGATTCTCACGAGCAGGTCGAGACATCCGGGCTGATACCATCTCGACCTTTTCACTAAACGAGCGTAAACCTAAAGAGGAGGGAAAAAAAAGAAGAAAACGGTCCTGGTGCTCGGAATCAGAAACTAAGGCTAACAGACTAACGCTACTAATGTGGGTAGAACTAACGACTGATATTCAGTATTGATAGTGATATTACTGATAACGTTATTGATCATATTAATTATAGCGATATAATATAATATAATATAATATAATATAATATAATATAATATAATATAATATAATATATAATAATAATTATATAATAAAATAATGATAATAATAATAGTAATAATAATAATAATAATAAGATAATGACGATTATAATAAAAAGGAAGAGATGATTGTTTGAAGAACGAGAACAAGGCCTAACGTGTCATAACGAACAAGAAAGAAACGCTTAAATAATAAATCGAGTATGACGGAGAGGAAGACCTATCTGATGCAAGAAATATAGCTCTTCTGCTAAGAATAAAAAAAAAAAAAAAAAGAGAAAAGAAAACTGTTCAATTCGGTGGAAGAGTCCGTCCCCTCTCCCTAAACATTCTCCTGTCTTTTCCGTCGATATATAAATTAATGCGCGTATGTGTAACGTTGTCTGTCGGGTCCAACGCTCTTTACCTTTTCTTTTCTTTTCTTTTCTTTATCTCCGTGCTGTTCGAAACGTTTCCCGTTGATCGTATCACACGTATCTTTCAGAAAGAATGTGAAGAAAATAAAATATACCGAAAGAGTCGAAGGACCCAGAGTAAGATGTAATTTGGTAATTAGAGCTTCATGTTGTCAAAGTCGGCGAGTGTGCTGCTGATCCTGTTGAAGACAGGCAGTCTCGATTCGGCGTTCGGTGATAGCGGAGATGGTGTCCTCGGTGTAAGTTCGTCCGAGCCCAACGGACTGCAAACGCTGTTGGTCCGAGGGCTGGGACTTCGTCTGGTGGCGAGAAGTCCGAAATCCTGACCGAAACTGAACGGCGAGGTGACGGACGGTTGCTGGCTACAGTCGTCGCTGAAGAAACTCGCCATCGAATTGGTCGGCGATTGACTGAGGCTGGATGACGGAGAAATGGAGTCACCAGTGCTGCCGAGAGAGAATGTCGGCTTTGGTTTGGTAGTGGCGCCGATCACCGAGCTAACGGTCGTCGTCGAGCCAGTCTGATGGTGATGATGATGGTGATGGTGATGATGGTGGTGTTGGCTAGTTGTTAGACTCAACGAGTTCGTTCTGAGCAATGGCGGCGGATTGTACGCGTTGGTGGTGGTGCTGCTACATAGGCTCAACGAATTGGTTCTCAGAAGATTGGGAGTCGCTACCTGAGACGAAGCGGCGATCTGTTCGAGGAGAGCAACGCTGCTGATCGTCGTCGGATTGACGTTCGAGCTGTTATTAGATGTATTTCCACCGGCGGCTGCGGCCGCGGCTGCTGCTGCTGCCGCGCTCAGTATAGGATTCAAGCCCATTACGTTTGGTTGCGCGGATCCTAGTTGCGCGCTCACTTTTTGATTGTGAATTCGAGCCTCCTCGAAGTTATGGATAAAATGGCAACGAGGCCCGTACGGGCAGAAACCGATCGTGTGGAATGTGCGGCATAGTTCCGTCTTGTATTTCGGATGCCGGGCGAGATTCCGTAGTTCGCTGTACCCATGAGCGAATTGACACTTGTCACCATATTTGCAGGTGCCGCTTTCCTCGAATGGCCTGCACAACTCTGTTTTATAACGAGACGTTGGCTCGCTCGCGCTGCGATCTAGCTTACGATGCTGCTCGATCAACGTTGTTACCAAGGAAGTATAGCTACGCCGAAGAGGCGCGTGTCCGCTATTATTCCCAGTCGAACCGCTGTTCGAGCTGCTGCTAGTCGTCGACGTCGAGGTTGGCTCCTTCGTCTTTGCTGGTCCATTCTGTAATACGTAAGAAAACGAGAATTGAAATTAATTTTGTTGCTTTGATACTCGTTCAAAAGTAAACGTAAGCAATAGGTCAGAAGATAATACGTGAAGAAGAAGGAATATAAATACAGCATGTTCTTAAAATCATGATACAATCTACGTGTAAAAGTAAATCGAGAACGAAAAATAACATTTTTTTTCATTTAAAACTTCGTTTTTCAGAAAATTTTGTGTTAAATATATTTGAATTTGGCTAATTTTGTCGAGGGATTAAAAATAAGCGAAAAATATAAAATAAATTTTCTCTTTGTAGAGTTGTCTTGAAAAAATTGGGCTTTGAAGAACTTGCTTGCCACACGCGTATTGATAAATTTTCAAATTTAATTTTCTCGAAAACGAAGTCTTACGAAAAATTTTCTTGTACACCTTTCTATCTTCTATTTGTTTCTATCTTCTATCAATCATTCATGCCTATTTCATTCGGAATTAACCGTATTCAAATGTACGAATAACAAATCTTTAAATTCGACTTCCTCAAAAACGATGTCTTCAATGAAAAATGTTTTTTTTTTTCAACTTATTTTTACACATGAAACCATTAATCAATTGTGTCACGATTTCGGAAACACCCTCTATAAATAAAATTAAAAGGAAAACAAAAGAAACAAGAATTCAATCAAATACAGATTGGCTAAATAGACGAATAAAACTTTACCGAAGTTATCGAACGTACAATTTAACCAAAATCTTTGCATCCAAGCGACAATGACGATTCATCCAAGTTAAGAAAAATGATTAACAATACAAAACGATTTCCACGATTTTTGAATATTTGATTTTCTCGCAATAGGACAAAAGATGTGAAAACATATGTCTGTGAAAGGCAATTTTGTTAATTCGATGCTTCGAGCTAACGTTCCATCTAACACTTTTCTGTGTTTACTTGTGGGATTATAATTGTTAATATTAAATAATGACGTCGTTATACAGCGGTAATAATCACGTTATACACGCGAATCACTGCATATTTCCTTCGAGAAACAGCTACTCAAATCTACGAATGCATCAATGATCAGGCATCGTATAAGTACCAACAAAGTACGTATTATTATTATTATTATTATTATTATTATTATTATTATTATTATTATTATTATTATTATTATTATTATTATTATTATTATTTCAAAGAATTGAGTATCAAGTATTCTGTTCGTGACAAATAATCTCGATATCCACTGTAACGAAAGGAATACGTCGAATGTAAGGAAAGTTCGATGTTTTAAGATTGGCGTGGCATTGTTAACCACTTGCGCTGGCAACTGATTGCGGACCATAACGAGTGACCAAACCGTGTACAATTTATCCCTTTCTTTTTGAACTCGTCGGTACGATATCACTGGATATAAATTATTGAGAAATTTATTATTTGTTTTGCCTATTTTGTTTTACTTAAATATACTTAAAACTGAGAAAATATTGCAGTTTTAGAACAAAAAACATGCGTTTTGACGTGCGTGCCACGTCATGCCAGCGCAGCGTTAAGTTAAACGCGAGTTAAGTGTAAAGCGGATCCCCAGTAATTCCAAATACAATAATACGCATCGTTCCAGCCGAAAACATCTTCGTTGCTGATATTACATTAGAAGCGTTACGCAATGGGATAATGCCTGGATGAGAACCTTCGACCAATAACGATGATTTATTTCTAATGGACTGTAATCAGAAATACAGGAAGCCCGTGCACAATTGCTTTATTCGAATGCTGCTTCGGTCATACTAATGAAATACTTGGTTGTATTAATACTAGGCTTGTATTTTCACAAAANAAAAAAAAAAAAAAAAAAAAAAAACTGTTAGGATTAGCTTTGTATGCAAAAATAGGAATTACAGTTGAGAAACACGTTACGAAACGTGCAACGAAAATAATGCTTCGTCTGCGGTGTTTTAACTTCTTGTTAATGAAACGGTGAATTGATGTAGATGTTTACTAATAAATAAATATCAATGACAGGGGTCTGCTCGAAAAATTTTACAAAATTATTTTTTACCACACATGCCTGCCTTCCTACGTACGGATTTAATATTGTGCACGGAAGTACTTAGTGCATGATGAAATATAATGAACCTAGGTGGAGTGCACGTGCCTCTGCCCAATCTTTTTAAGGCTTCCGTTAGACGACTCTATAACCTATCATGTTTTACGATTCATCTTTTATTGTTTGCAATTTTTTACTTGATGACCATAAAACATTATCGATAATTCGCGAAATCGAGATAGGTTTAATGTCGGGTTTAAAAATATCGGACAGTGGACTCAGGTATACGAAGAAGAGACGAAAGGTTCAACGTTTCAGCGGATGGAAGGCAAAAATTCGTGGAACGAGAAACTACCTGAACTTTTCGAAATAATCGGATCTCACGAGAGCTCGAACAGGCCAAGAAAAAAAATACTTTCGAGACCTGAAACCTCTCTAAATCACGAAACGAACCTTCCAGCAATCCTTACTTGACATCGTTTTCTTTTTTTCTTCTTCTTAAACTACTGTCCAGGAAAAATATTTTTTTTTAAACTTTTTCGTTCTATCGACGTTCTATCGTCGATCAAAATAAAAATAAAAAACAGTTTTGAACGAAATTGATTTAAACGTTAATTAGAATTTAGAATTTAGAGAACAGTTAAATTGACAAGTTGAAAGTATCATTGCATCGAGGACGTCGAGTTGTGAATCAATGTAATCGATCGAAATATTCTCGATTTACACGAAGAAGGATAAAAAACGTAAACAACCACATACAGCTAAATGATTTATTATGACAATTTATCTTATCTTTAATCACGTGCATGATTATACTTCGCAATAAACATTGCCACAGTTCTGCATAAACAATAACCTTGGAATTAACTGTCTATTTTGTTAAAAACCTATTTAGTCTGCTTTAATAACGCCAATCATGGCAATAAATCTTCGATAAAATAGAAACAAGAATCCATAAAATGATATTCGTCGAATCAATTCTAGGTCAAACGACCTAAAAATCTTCTTATCCAATCGAAGATTTATCGAAGAGATAACCCGTAATTTAAAATTGTACGATAATTGATGCTGAACAGTGATAAAAATTTTGATTTCCATTGGCCATCAACGAATAAGAAACTGAAAATAGCAATGTATAACTCTTAGAATTATTTGCTTTAATATTATGTATTAATTTAGTAAATTTTTGAATAACTAAGGAATATTATTTTTGTCTAGCTAGATTTTCACCATAACTCGCGATACTTTCGAAAGAAATTGAAGAGTGAGAGTGATAACATAATATTCTACATTACATTTTGAACACACATGTAACAAAGTATCCAAAGTATTAACCGAAAAATTGAATCGATCTATTGGTAAAATTAAAATTAATTGATATTTTCTCCGTAAATCCGTAATTAGCCATATCAAACAATGTTGATGATCAATCGATAATGAAAGTCAATCGATCCTTTTCCACGCGAATTTTCACAGATCGCATAATACCAGGTGAAAATACAAGCGTAGTTTCATATTGCCTGGAAATTTCCACGAGCACGTATGTTCATAACACGGCTGTTCTACCTATGCACAGACACACATCAACGCTCACGTAATTAGTCTATGCGCTTCAGGTATTAATGCAAAGAGACACACACAAAAACAGAAACGCGAGTGTTGGTTATCCTACAATCATCAATGTCCAATGGCTGTTTATCGCGCAGTCGCAAACGCAAACACGAACATACTGTACGCACACGTATAGCCGTTGTTACTATACGCTTCTTATCAACCGGACCTGGTTCAAGTAGATGCAGTCACGTGCGAACGGTCAACGGGCGACGTTTTTACTTTTCCTTTTTCCGTGTCACGGTTTATTGCACGTTCATCGTAATACTGGTTCAAACGGATGACGAAACGCATTGGATTGGTGGGAACGTAACACGCTCAGCATAATTTTACGACTCCGCCGAGTTATACGATAAATTTGGATTATCATTTTTTCCTGTATATATAGTATTTTGTTTCTTTCCTTTCCTTTCAATTAATTAATAGGAAAAACAGTAGCTGCTATAACAGTCATACGGTGAAAATAATTAGTTATAAACGTAGCAATATTTAACTATCGATAAATAAATTATTTAATTACGTAGTAAATTAATTTTATTATTAATCTTCAATCATGGACAATATAAACTATGAAGTAAAATCAAATGTTCTAAAATTTTGATAATCCAACATAAATTATTGCAATTATCTACGATGTTGTTTAAAGGTGAAACAGACATTAGAAAAAATTCATTTACAACCGATATTAATCTTCGTGAGTGAAAAGCTAGAGAAAGCTAGAATTGAGAAATAGGTGAATAGATGCGAATGATAGTCTTACAAACATATGTAGATGATTCAGAGAATTACCGCCCGTGGAAAACGTGCTTAACCATGGGAATGTGAACTCAGCGAAAGTCCCGATTTGGAAATGGAACCAACGTTCGTACATTGGTTAAACCTAATTCTTTAATATCGTGATAGATTCGGGAGAAAACGGCTACAGTTGCAAAAAATCAATCGGAAAATGTCTGACTTTTGAAAAACTAGTATTTTTTTTTTTTTTTTTTTTTGGATTTGTGAACCTTAACCACTTGCGCTGGCAACTGATTGCGGACCATAACGAGTGACCAAATCGTATACAATTCGTTGCTTTCTTTTTAAACTCGTCAGTATGATATCACTGGATAGAAACTATTGAGAAGTAATAAATTTATTATTTGTTCTGCTTATTTTGTTTTACTTGAATATACTATATAATATAAACTGAGAAAATATTGCAATTTTGGGACAAAAAAATTCTCGACGTGCGTGGCAAGAGATTAAAACGCAGAGAAAATTCATTTCCGGTCAAAACGATCTCAAGAGGACATCCTGGTTTTACAAAACTTGTACGAAAGAATCGGCGTATATTTATTGACGTAAATTAATGCTTTACTCCAC